CCCGGACCTCGCGTCCCGCAACCGCTCCGCGCTCGACCGCATGGCCGACGACGCCTGGGCGCTCGGCCTCACCGCCTGGGAGGAGGCCACCGCGTTCTCGGGGGACCCCTGGGCGCTGCTGGCCGCCGCCACCTCCCACGCCTCCGACGCCGCCAAGTGCCCCTCCGCGGTCTCCCAGCGCGCGCGGGGCCGGGTCGTCTTCCTCCCCTGCGGCCTCGCGGCTGGGTCGTCCGTCACCGTCGTCGGCACCCCGCGCGCCGCGCACAGGGAGTACGTGCCGCAGCTCGCAAGGATGAGGCAGGGGGACGGCACCGTCATGGTGTCCCAGTTCGTGGTCGAGCTCCAGGGCCTGCGCGCCGTCGACGGCGAGGACCCGCCCAGGATACTCCACCTCAACCCCAGGCTCAGGGGGGATTGGAGCCAGCACCCTATCCTCGAGCACAACACCTGCTACAGGATGCAGTGGGGCACCGCGCAGCGCTGTGACGGCACACCATCCAACGACAATGACGACAAAGGTCCTCTGCATCTAGTATTACTTGCTCTTCTTCGGCAACTCTAGTAGATGTTCCAACTAACTTGCAGCCCCAGCCCATTTTCGGGTTAGAGGCACACACACCTAGTGTCATGTTTCTGTTTTAAGTAAAAATTAGTACTAGATGGTTTGCAATGACTTCTGTTCAACTATGCCAACTGCTTCTTATAACAGAGTTGGTAGTACTTACGGGGAATGTTAAGCCACAATTTTGTTACACTTGCCCCTTTTCCCGAATTTACCTCCTACTGAGATTAACATTTATGGCTACTAGCCTACTACAGATGGTTTCAATGCATAGGAGTAGTTAGCAAACTATCAAAAATTCTCTGCGTGTTAACATCTTTGCAATTTTTACCTCGTGTTCCTGTTACATAATTGTTAGATAACTGTCTGCTGTTATAAACTTATAACTGTCTTTGTCAAACTTAGACCGAATAGCCACAATCTTCAAATTGTCATATCCTTTATCACTTATAACATCCCCTTTGTCCAGAAAAAAACACAAAAGTGCTCCCTCTCTGCCGTTTATTGTGACACTAGCATATTTGGCTAAAACCTACAATTTCATTTTTCCCCAACAGTCGATGGATTCCCCAAATGTGAGAAATGGATACGCAATGACATTGTTGACACCAAGGAGTCCAAGACAACTTCATGGTTGAAGAGATTCATAGGGCGTGCAAAGAAACCTGCAATGACATGGCCATTCCCCTTCGTAGAGGAGAGGCTATTTGTTTTGACTATACAAGCTGGAGTTGAAGGTTTCCACATTTACGTTGGTGGTCGACATGTGACATCTTTTCCTTATCGACCAGTATGTTCTTAAGACATGTTTATCTGCTGTTCCTTTTAAAATTTATTTTTGTTATGATATCTAGAGTAGACACTTAGGGGTACCAGGTGATCATTTTCAGGGGTTCACTCTTGAAGATGCAACGGGATTATTTGTTAAGGGTGATGTAGATGTACATTCAGTTTATGCCACTGCTCTTCCTATGTCGCATCCTAGTTTTTCTCTTCAACAAGTCCTTGAGATGTCAGAAAAGTGGAGGTCTCGGCCGCTACCAAAAGGTCCTGTTTCCCTTTTCATTGGAATATTGTCTGCATCAAATCATTTTGCTGAGCGCATGGCTGTGAGAAAAACATGGATGCAGACTCCAGAAATTAAGTCTTCTGAAGCAGTGGCTCGATTCTTTGTTGCACTGGTAAGCAAATTATCCATCCAAATAAATATATTTGTAGCTAAACATTTTAGTCCTGACATGCTAACAAAAATTCAAGTTGTCTATATTGTTTAAGTATACACCTAAATATCCTTAACAATTAGTCATGCCTTAAGAAGGTGTGGTAGCCCTGTTATTTCTGGATCTGATTTGTGCTAGATCAAAATGCATCTTCAGGTCTATGCAGTATAACTTGCAATCTGTATTTAATTCTATGCCTAGTAAAATGCAATAGCATGTAGTGTTGAAAGTACATATTATCAACTGCATGACTGCACCAGCTTGGTGTGAGAATTGAGAAATTGCATAAATGTTAAAGACTCTGGACTGTCTGCCATCCACCCACTTTTAATCACCATGCTTCAAAATTTCAAATGCAATCATCTTAAAACTTAAATTCTGTGGTATAGCTACTTGCCTACTCACCAGTTACCATCCTTACTGCCTCACCATTTATCGTACTTTGTGAAATATCAAACTGACTATCATCATCTGGCGCTGAATTCTCAGTTTTTTAATGAAATTTATGCACTCCAAACAACGATGGTTGGAAATATTAGTGGCTTACATTTTCTTAGAGAAAATATAAATGTGCTTTAGGAAATGATAAATGCTATTTGCTTCATCATGATAAAATTGTGTTTGCAGAATTCCAGGAAAGAGGTCAATGTAATGCTGAAGAAAGAAGCAGAATACTTCGGAGACATTGTCATTTTGCCATTTATAGATCGCTATGAGCTGGTTGTTCTTAAGACAATTGCTATTTGTGAGTATGGGGTAAGACACTTGTGCCATTATAATGCCAAATTTGTGTTGTACTTCTTGCATTTGTATTGTTTGTCAATGTCAACTAAAGCGAACTTGCAATGGCTTGTGATCTGTTTCTATCTATGCTCAATAATTGTGACTGTTTTCACATGTTACTTCTAGGAGAAGTTAAGCCCTATAAGGCTCTAACATAGGCTAATGGACTATGCCAATCATGAAAGTCACTAGGACTTTTAGTTGCCATACAAACATGTCAGTTAATAATAAGCACCCTGTATCGACTAATCATGAACATGATGTCTGTTGCTCTTTATGACCTTACAGGTCCAGAACTTGACTGCTGCAAACATCATGAAATGCGACGATGATACATTTGTGAGAGTAGATGTGGTTCTGAGACACATAAAGTTGCATAGTGACAGCAAACCATTTTATATGGGGAACCTTAACCTCTTGCATAGACCATTGAGAACTGGAAAATGGGCAGTTACCGACGAGGTAATCTCCTCATTTCAATGCAGGTGTTGCCAACATTGGCAACATATGCCCCTCAGTTCCAACCATGTTCATCTGTGTAAATTGCAGCCCATCTTGTGTCACCATCACATACCACATTTTCTTCATTGTCTGTCCTGACTCCTGTCAATAAATTACCACAGGAGTGGCCTGAGGATATCTACCCGCCATATGCAAATGGACCAGGCTATGTGATTTCTGGTGACATAGCAAAATTCATCGTGTCACAGCATGCCAATCAGAGTTTAAGAGTGAGTTTGTGCTGGTTCCTTCTCCAGATCACTTTTCACATAAACTTGAATTCCTGATGTCAAATCGGCCTGTCTTGCAGCTGTTTAAGATGGAAGATGTAAGTATGGGTCTATGGGTTGAGAAATTCAATGCAACAAAGCCTGTCCAATATTCTCACAGCTGGAACTTCTGCCAGTATGGTTGTGTGTTCAACTACTACACAGCCCACTATCAGTCACCTAGGCAGATGCTGTGCTTGTGGGATAAGTTGGTCCGTGGTCAGGCTGATTGCTGTAACTACAGATAGCTAAGCGAAGCAAAGGATTGCTGGACGCTGTCCTCTCTTCATCATACCCCAGCCAGGTTTAGTTTGGTTGGCTGGTATTCTCCTTTTTGACCCGATCACCGGATCGACACCAATAGTTCCTCCATTGCTGGCTCAATATGAGCTAAATGCATGGGTGTGCAGTAGGAGCTTGAAGATTTAGGAAGCTCCAACCAGTTGGGTAGTGTTTTTACACGATCTGTATTGGTCCAACTGTGGCGCTGGCGTCCTTGTGCTCTTGTAATTGATCCAATTTTGATGTGGTAGGCCAGATTAGAATGTCCAGATCAGATGTACGTCTTCGTTCTTTTCTTATATACAAGTTATAACTAGACAAAATGTTCCCTGCTCTTTGCAGTCTCCTGGTGCTGAAATCTTCAGCATTGCTTTTATTTCAGTCACTTTGTCTTGACTTCAGTTATAAAATCTTATGGCAGGATCGAAAACTAAAATTTTCGTTGAAATCAGCTATGCATACATAATTTTTTTATGGAAAATTTCCAGGAATGTCACATGAGACAGTTTCTTTCTTACAAGATCTTGGAAAAAAGGAAATAATGTTTCACATACTACTGTTCATCTAGAAAAGGATGAAATTCTGGGTTTGATTGAGTCAAATTTTATTAAGTTTAGCTAAATTTATAGAGAACATTATTAAAATTTATGGCTCTAAATTCATATACTATAAAAACGTATCTCATGTTGAATCTAATTATAATTAGTATTTGGTATAATAAATACTATTGTCTTTTTGATATATTTGGTTAAAGTTGAGATAGATTTACTTGCTAGAAAGCTAGAATTGCATCCTTGTTGAGATTAAGGCTGTGTTTGGATGGGGTTGGCTTATTTTTCCAGCCGGAGCAGTGTTTTTCTCTCGTAACATTCAAACATAAACAATGTTTTCTAGTATGAACAGTAAAAAATTCAGTCCAGCCGAACACTCTAAAAGGGTATTTTGAAGTTTTGGGGTTGCAGCCATCCCAAAGTTTGACTACTTTTATTGCAATATTATGTACAAAATCTAGCAAAGGTACATATAGTTCCGAAACTATCATTTTTCAAACATTGAAACGACACTTATTTATGAAGACAGATGAAACAATAAAACGATCAGAGAGAGAGAGAGAGAGAGAGAGAGAGAGACTCATGAACTGCCTCATGATATGAGATGATTTCGAACTCTTTATAGGCGGGCAGTGATGCAAGTGATTTGAATAATTTGATCTTCTGAATGTCGTGTAGTTAGGAAAGCAATTAATAATAAGCAAATATAGTTTTGAGTTTTTGACGTGGACGGAGAAATTGAAATATGGACGGGGCCATTCGTCAGCGTCAGACAGACAAAACCATCTCAGTGCTCGCTCGAGCCCCTGGCAACGGCGGTAGGCAGGCGGCAATGGCCGCGCTGCGGTTACCAAGAGCTCCGGCCATGGCCGCCCTGGCCGGCGCGGGCGTTCCGTACCGTATCCCATGCCAGGAGCATCCCCCGCCCCCGCCGGTGCGGGCCCTCCCCAACAGGGCCCCCCTGAACGCGCTGCTCACCTCCTACGGCCGCCGCGGCCGCATCCAGGACGCCCAGCAGCTGTTCGACCGGATGCCCCGCCGCGACGTCATCTCCTGGACGGCGCTCCTCACCGCCTACGCCGACGTCGGCGACCTCGCCTCCGCGCGCCTCGTCTTCGACGACATGCCCCTCCGCAACGCCGCCTCCTGGAACGCGCTGGTCTCCCTCTACCTCCGCGCGGGGCGGCCCGCGGCTGCGCACGCGCTCTTCTGCAAGGCGCCCGCCAAGAACGCCGTGTCCTACGGCGCCATCATAACGGGCCTCGCCAGGGCGGGCATGCTGCGGGAGGCACAGGCCGTGTACGGGGAGATGCCGCCGCAGTGGAGGGACCCCGTGGGGTCCAACGCGATGATTTGGGGGTACCTCAGGGCCGGGGAGCTTGGCATGGCGCTGAGGGTGTTCGACGGAATGGCGGAAAGGGACGTCATTTCTTGGAGTGCTATGGTTGATGGGCTATGTAAGTATGGGACTGTGTCCGAGGCCAGGAGACTGTTTGAGGCAATGCCAGAGCGGAATGTGGTGTCCTGGACCTCGATGATCCGAGGATATGTGAAACGCGGGATGTACAGAGATGGTCTCTTGCTGTTCCTGGACATGAGAAGGGAAGGTGTTCAGGTTAATGCGATTACACTCTCGGTTGTGCTAGATGGTTGTGCTCAGGCCAGTCTTGTCGATGAAGGGATCCAGGTTCACTGCTTGATGATTAGAGTGGGGTTTGCAATGGACATATTTTTGGGTGATTCACTGATAATAATGTATTCTCGATTTGGCTCGATGGTTGATGCTAGAAGGGTTTTTGCTTTCATGAAGCAGAAAGACATAGTATCATGGAACTCATTGATCACTGGTTATGTTCAGAGTAACATGATTGAAGATGCTCATGTGCTGTTCAAGTTGATGCCGGAGAGGGATGCTATTTCGTGGACGTCAATGGTGGTTGGGTTTGCTAATAGGGGTTGGATGAGAGAGTCTGTTGAACTCTTTGAGCAAATGCCTGTAAAAGACGAGATTGCCTGGGCTGCAGTTATTTCTAGTCTTATTGCAAATGGAAACCATGTGAGTGCGGTGCGTTGGTTTTTTCAGATGTCACAGGAAGGATGCAGACCTAATACTGTTGCTTTTAGTTGTTTGCTGAGTGCTTTGGCTAGCCTGGCTATGCTGAATCAGGGGTTGCAAGCTCATGCTTATGCAGTCAACATGGGATGGATATTTGACTCAGCTGTTCACGCTTCTTTGGTGACAATGTATGCAAAATGTGGTAGGTTGGCTGAGGCTCATCGTGTTTTCTCATGCATTAGCAATCCAAGCCTTATTGCCACTAATTCTATGATTACAGCATTTGCACAACATGGCTTGGCTGAAGATGCATTCAAACTTTTTAACAGAATGCAATATGATGGCCAAAGGCCTAACCATGTGACATTTTTGGGAATACTGACTGCATGTGCTCGAGCTGGTTTGGTTCAACAAGGTTATAACTACTTTGAATCCATGAGATCAGCCTATGGTATTCAACCAAACCCTGACCACTACACATGCATGGTTGATCTTTTTGGTCGTGCAGGCTTCCTTGATGAAGCACCGGAAATGATTAATTCGATGCCCCAGAAAGAGTATCGTGATGCATGGGCAGCTTTGCTTAGCTCTAGTCGCCTCCATTCTAATCTTGATTTAGCAAAATTAGCAGCACAGAGGCTTCTTGAGATAGATCCTTACGACGCAACAGCTTACACAGTCCTGTCAAACATGTTCTCCTCAGCAGGGATGAAGGAAGATGAAGAAATGGTAAAGGTTGCACAATTATCCAACATGGCTAGTAAGAGTCCTGGGTATAGCATCATCATACAGGATAAGGCTACAGAAAATAACTAACACAGAATTGGTACCTCCATTTACAGATAACTGGCATGTCATAAGACAGGGATTTTGGGTTCCCAAAAAACAATTCTAGTGCCAAGATTAGATGTCAATTTGTTGATGTACGTTAGTGCAGAATCAGTTTTAATATTTAAGAACTGAGAATGAGGAATATCTGATAAGATGATTAGTGATTTGAAGAATACAGAGCCAGGTGGTCTGGATCAAATTTTGGTTAGTCTTTCCTCTTATATCACTGTTTTCAGGATAGAATTTTCAGTACTGCAACTGATGTTGTATTTGATTAATGGGAATATTTTTTTATCCCTGTAAAGGTAGTTTTGGCAGATGTAAATCTTATCCCAATAGTAGAATATGGTGTCATATAATGCTGTTCAGATTCATTACAATCCTGATGTTAATTGCACCTTTTTCAGAGACTGGAGAGTTGATGATACTTCTGCAAATAATTCATCTGCTATTGTGATTTGTTGAACAACAAGAAAATCATTGGCTGCTCGCGCTTTCAAGAATATTTTGTGCATGATCTAAGCTCCTCATCAATTGATAGAGAAGAAGAGTCACTGAGTGAGGTAATCTTTATGCTCATTCATTCATTTTGATGAGACAACCATACCAAGGTGAATTGGGTGACTACTAGGCTTTTCTTTTAGCAATAGAAGCTTCCAAGTAATTCATGGAGGTCTATGGATGTTCTCCTCAAGAAAAATAGGTATGATTTGTGCCTTTGTTATAGATGTGGCAGGTGAATTGGGTGACCACTAGGCTTTTAGTAGTTCTGCTGCTTTCTTTTCGTTTTCATATGCAACTTTGTAATTTCGTTACATTTGTAATGAAATTCGGTCTTGGCTGGTGGAGTAGGACTATGGTAAACAAGGTTTTTCTTTTTTTGGCTGAGCAAATTGCAAATTAGTGGGGAAAAGAGCCTAATTACGGAAACTGGAAACACAACATCAGCTTGCTCTTTGAATAAATGGTCATGTTTCATGAGCTTTCTTATTCTAGTCCACTTCTATTTTTTTCTTAGCATTTTTCCAGTGATCTACAGTCTACATTGTGCCAGTCATGTCAAGATCATGACAGTTTTTATATACATGGTGGTAGTTGAAATGCTTAACCATATACATCAACACAAGAATCATGACCAATCCAATACTGTAACCAATTTGCTTCAACCTCGGTCACTCAATTTACTTTGTACTTATACCAGGAAGCTTGAGACATCCCATAAATAGGCCGACATTTTCAATTCAACTTTAGCTGCTATCTGTTTCTGAACCATGGATCCATTTGTTCTCTCCATCCTCTTATGCTCATGGATCTTTGTTGTAGTGTACTGGAGAAGGCTGAACAGCATGAGGCTAAGGCTTCCACCTGGACCTCCAACATGGCCAATCTTTGGCAATCTTCTCCAGTTGAGCCCGCTTCCCCACAAAGACTTTGCTCGATTTTGCACCAAATATGGCCCCCTTGTCTATCTTCGCCTAGGAACCATCGATGCCATCACCACTGATGATCCTGAAGTCATCCGTGAAATACTCATCCGGCAAGATGAGGTCTTTGCTTCACGGCCTCGGACACTGGCTGCTGTCCATCTTGCCTATGGGTGCGGTGATGTGGCTCTAGCACCACTGGGGCCCAACTGGAAAAGGATGAGGAGAGTTTGTATGGAGCACTTGCTGACGACCAAGCGACTCGAGTCGTTTGCTTCTCACCGAGCTCAGGAGGCTGAGCACCTCTGCCAGTTTGTATGGGCTAAATCTCAGTCTGGGAAGCCCGTGAACCTCAGAGAGGTTCTTGGCGCCTTCTCTATGAACAACGTCACAAGGATGCTGCTGGGGAAGCAATACTTTGGGATCCAGTCGGCAGGCCCTGGCGAAGCAATGGAGTTCATGCACATCACCCATGAGTTGTTCTTCCTGCTGGGCCTGATCTATCTCGGGGACTACTTGCCAGCTTGGAGGTGGATCGACCCGTACGGGTGCGAGAAGAAGATGAGGGAGATCGAGAAGAAGGTGGACGACTTCCACCAGAAGATAATTGATGAACACAGGAGAGCTAGGGAGGCCAAGAAGACTCGGCGTTCCTCCCTTGATGACGACAACAGCAAAGAAGAGATGGACTTCGTCGATGTGCTGCTATCTTTGCCTGGTGAGAACGGGAAGGAGCACATGGACGATATGGAGATTAAAGCGTTGATGCAGGTATGCCTGCTATATTGCATACCCTGAAATTCGATTCAATTTGTTGAAGCTAGTTATGAGTAATGTTTTTTTCCTTTTAATTAATCAAATAAAACTGAAGCCTCCACATCTAAACTAACGCAGGACATGATCGCTGCTGCTACGGACACTTCATCGGTGACCAACGAGTGGGTGATGGCAGAGGTGATCAAGAACCCGCGCGTGCTCCGGCGTATCCAGGAGGAATTGGACGCGGTGATCGGGCGTGACCGGATGGTGGCGGAGTCGGACCTCGCTCACCTCCCCTACCTCCGGTGCGTGGTCCGGGAGTCGTTCCGGATGCACCCGGCGGGGCCATTCCTGATCCCTCACGAGTCCCTGAAGCCGACGACGATCATGGGGTACCACGTCCCGGCGCGCACGCGGGTGTTCATCAACACGCACGCGCTGGGCCGGAACCCGCGCGTGTGGGACGATGTCGACGAGTTCCGACCGGAGCGGCACCTGCCGGCCGAGGAGGGGGTGAGGGTGGAGATCAGCCACCTGCCGGACTTCAAGATCCTGCCGTTCAGCGCTGGGAAGCGCAAGTGCCCCGGCGCGCCGCTGGGCGTGGCGCTGGTGCTCATGGCGCTCGCCAGGCTCTTCCACTGCTTCGACTGGTCCCCGCCTGACGGCCTCCGACCCGAGGACGTCGACACCCAGGAGGTGTACGGGATGACCATGCCCAAGGCCACGCCGCTCGTCGCCGTCGCCACCCCTCGCCTGCCGCCGCACTTGTACGGCAGCTCGGCTCCTTAGTTTGACGCACCTACGCTGCCAGTCATGGCGGCAACGCAAGCAAATTAAATCCATGGCGGTGATCCGTGCATCGATCTTTGGTCGTCGTCGCCATGGCTAACAGTGTGACAGAGAAGCAGGGACGATCCTAGCTACTACTACATGCATGATGTTCCATATATACCACATAAACTAAACGATGAATGAAATGAAGTTCTCTGATCTGAATTTGAGATATATAGATGTTTAATTACATTATTAAGTGATATAGCACTAATGATTCAATGAGCTAGCTGGCGACGAAGCAAGCATCGAACTGTTGCAATGGCTGCCGTGGCGTTCATGCACGGCATGGCCAAAAAAACCCTATCCATCTGCCATTTTTGGCGTACCAATGCATCACCCAAAGCTGCCATTACGAGCAACATCAGCACCAACAAAAAGCTGAACCGCTTCGCCGACCCAGAGACCCCTATAAAACCCCAGCGTTCGAGCCACTCCATGATCGCAGCTCACGTACAGCAACATCTCGGCAACAAGACCAGCAGCGAAGCTCGGGAGAGCGAGAGATTGATGATGAAGAAGGGCGGCGCCGCAACAACGGTGGCGGTGGTGTTGGTCGTCCTGCTGGCGGCGGCGGCGTCGTCGGTGGCGAGGGCGGACGTGAGCTGCGCGGACGTGGACGAGAACCTGCGGCCCTGCGTCGGGTACGTGACGGGCAAGGAGGCGGCCCCGGCCGCCCAGTGCTGCGCAGGCGTGAAGCGGATCAGGACCATGCCATCCGGCACGGCGGACCGGCGCCAGGCGTGCGAGTGCGTCAAGCAGGCGGCGGCCAAGTACCAGCCGCTCAACGCCGACGCCATCCGCGACCTCCCGGCGCAGTGCGGCGCGCCGTTGCCGTTCCCGCTCACCCTCAACTTCGACTGCACCACGTGCGTATATCCTAAGTTCCTAACATCATTACTAGGCGTAGCATATATATATACCACCATATATATGATATGAGAATTTTTATACTGATTAATGCTATTTTCCTTTTGGTTTCTGTCTTTCCTGACGCAGAATTCCATGAGCTAACACATGGATGCAAACGAGCCATCCTGAAAATGGAGAAAATAAGGAGAGGGGAGTACAAATAAGACATGAAATGTTCACTCTAAATGAACTAGCTGTAAACGCTTCTAATAATATTTATAATAATTATGAGGGCCTTGCTATTTGCAAGCAGCTTTTTATCCAAGTGAATCGTTGAACGTCTCTATTTCTAATAAGGGCTTAGCTGTGCGAGCTGATCTTTCTTTTATAGCACCATGTTCGCTTCAACTTATCAGCCATGTTACAGTGCAGTGACGAAACCAACGATTTTGAATAAAGGAGGCCAGACAAATATGATCGCATTTTTTAGTGAGATAAAATATACATAACTATATGTTTCAACACTTTTTTAAATATTTTACACTATTTGTAACCAAAATTATAATGTTTTAATAAAAAATGGGTGAAAATTGATATTTTTTGTGCTGTAAATTCAAATATTTATATAGTATTAAATAAAACTTACTGTGCTGGGGGGCATGGCCTTGGTTCCACCACGGATAGAGTGTTTTTCTTCCACAACAAAATAACATCAACCGGCTTATCAACTAGCATGATATAATAAAAAAAAATAGGCTCGTGAAGGTCTCGTTCAAGAAGAATGAGAAAAGAATAAGAAGAGGAAAAAGCAAAAAGGAGCGCCCTTAAACCACCACCATCTAACAACTAGAGCGAGCATTATGTTGATACTTCAATATATTCAACAAATGATGAAAAAGTCTCACATGCTATAAAATTCTGTCAAAATTTAAAAACGTTTAAGTTAAGAATGCTCTATGTAAGGAAAAGGGACTCTAAATCCATTTACTTTGGATTTTGGTGTTTGATGACCAACACAACCAAATTGGACTAATAAATTTGCAAGTAATTGTTTTATAGTTCAATAGGGTGCAAGACGTGACTTGGACGAAGGCGACATAATAATCACACGATCAACACCATAAGCAAGACCCTAAAAGCACAAGAGAAGACCCAAGATATCAAGCAAAGTCCAAGCACGAGGATAGGAACCAAGCCGGACGCAAGATCGCGAAGAAACGAGCTCGGTAGAGGTGACCGGACGCGGCCCTATGAGGATTGGATGCATCCGATCAGTTGCTCGGCAACAGCAGGCGTCAGCAGCAGCGATCGGATGCTGAGCGAGGTAGTGACCGGACGCATGGACTTCATTGTTCATCATCAACGACAACGCTCTCAGCGTGACCGGACGCGACGGCAGGACGACCGGACGCACCAAGAAGTAGCGTCCGATCATGTCCAGAAAGGTTCCAGAGCAGCGCCAGCGCAACCGGACGCGTCCGATCGAGTGAGACCAGACTCGGCCCAGGGTTCGATCAACGCGCGCACTCCAACGGTCGGTAGGACCGGACGCCTCCGATCGGGACGTGATCAGCAACTGAGAAAACATACCAAGGGCGTTGATACACCACTTTAGTGATCTCCACTTGCATAGTGCTTAGTAATACATTCGGTGATTAGCGTAGGTGCTTTGCGAAGTGCTTAGATTAGTTAGACCACCGCTTATGCGCTTGCTCTAGGTTTAGTCCTAGTGTTTAGTGAGGTTTGCACACCTCTTACCACTCGGTGCTTGCGCGCACCATTGTTGTACATCGGAGGGGCTTGTAGTCTTGTGAGATCATATCAACCACGTTTGTGGTGTGGCCGCCACCGTGTACTGAAGGGAACAAGGCCCGCGGCGGTTCGACCGGAAGCTTGATAGTGAAGACGGCGGGGAGCGGTCTGGGAGAGGCTTGTCGAAAGGACACACCGGAGATCCACTTGCGCGTGGGGAAGGCCCGAGGCTATCCATAGAGTTACCCGATCGGGAGCTTGGCCCTTTCGAGGGATTTCTTGCGAGGGGCTCCAACGAGGACTACGGGGAAGCTTGCGTGCTTCTCGATACATCGATAAAAATACCGGAGTCGTCGACGGGAGTTTGCATATCTCTACCTTACTCTTTAACTTCCGCATATACATTGCAATCTTGGTTTGTGCTTTACTTTCCTAGCTTAGTGATAGGCTAGCTGATAGGTTTAGAACCTAGGTTGCATAACTTCTTTTTGCGGTAGAGATAGCAACACACTAGCAAAACCGTAGTTGCATATTTAGATAGTTTATCTTTTGCATAGGTTTTTGCTAAGGATAGAAAAAGAGGTCATAGTTTAGAGTTAGAGTTTTAAGTTACCTAATTCATCCTCCTCTTAGACATCACGGTCCATTACACTCAAGAAATTAATTTATCCAGGAGATAGGAGTAGATAATGCTTTCTTCATTCCTAAATGTAAAAGTTGCTCTACCATTTTAAAATTTGTCTCAAAGAAATTTATTTGTCTGCAATAGCTACTTTTTTCTGCCTTCATTTAAATCCGCACATGGTCTCTCCTTAAGGCTACTTTTAGTCCATGGTACTCTCTTCGTTTCTAAATTATAAATTATTCCTTAGGTCTCACAGGATAATTAAATGCTAGAGGTGTTTGTGACTTTGAATTGTGAGCCACATGGGTAACTTAGTTTTCATTAAGTTGGATTTCTTACCACGTTGTATTACCATGAAGGTACAAAACTTATCCCTCCTCATTACTTCCTCTATCTAGAAATGACTTACTTGATCAGAGAAAAAGTCATACAAAGTAGATTATGACCCTTAATTTCTCTTATAGTATGTACTTCAGTGATAAAAGAATTAATATCATCTTAAAGACTCTTTGAACACAAAATCTATTGATGCAAGTTTTGTGCTTTAAACTTGCATATAATTTTACTTTTTTTGTTAAAATTTATAAAGTTGAACTTTTTCTATGATCAAATATGATTATCATTAATTTCTGGTCGGAAGGAAGTAGTTTGCTACCATGCCAGCAAAAATCCTATTGTGGCGGACCATTTAATGTGCATGATATATATTACCTACAGGGATTAGCCTAATTACTCCTATATGCATGTGTATATGGACATTTAATTGTGGCAGCTTATCCAAACATCGTGCCCAAACAAAAGGCAACTACTGTCATTTCACCTCTCAGCTGCAGATCTATCTTTTTTTTTTCTAGAGTTACGCATACTTTCTTTTTAGACGGAGTAAATAATGATGACTGTGTTTCTATAATGTGAAACTCGCAGTGTGAGTACCACGTGAACCCTACTCTACGTCAAAAAAATCGATTCTGTGTGGAGACATGACATGACCCACAAATATTATATGGAAGGACTTTAATTTGTGTTTGGTCACTGCGTGCGAATGGTTTAGTCGCTATACCACTGAGGCCTTATTCGTTTCATCCCGAAACCAAGTGGGTTAGGGAGGATCGACGGGGATTTAATCCCAGAAAAAATCTACATAACTCCCCAATTATTCAGGATAGACTACTTCAGCTTTTAAACTATAAAACCGGATTTTCTACACCCGAACTTTCTAAAACCGGTCAAATAACCACCACGCGGTTTTGGACGGTGGTTTGCTACAGTGACAGCGGTTTTTTCTTTATTTATATATTTATTTTCACTGTATCTTTGAAAAATCATAGTAAATCATAAAATGGAAAATTCAATTTTGTTGGACTTCACATGAGTAGATCTACACAACCCTGTAGATCTACTCATGTAGAGTCCAACGAAATTGGATTTTCTATTTTGTGATTTTTCTGTGATTTACTATGATTTTTCAAAGATTCAGCAGAAATAAATAAAAAAAGAAAAAGACAAAATCACCGTAACTGTAGCAAAACCACCGTCTAAAACCGTTTGGGGGTTATTTGACCGGTTTTGAAAAGTTCGGGGGATAGAAAATCTGATTTTATAGTTTGGAGGTGTTTGGGGGTTATGTAGACTTTTTCCATTTAATCCCTTACAGCTGGAACGAAAAGGTTGGCTAATTTTTATTAACATTGATCAGCCGGAAACAGCCCTCAATCTCTTTCAATCCACTGCCAATAATGTTGTTGGGGTAGGTGCTCGTCAACTCAAATGTCTTTTCTCAGGATCTCTAGCTTGGAAGGGTGCCGTGCCATGACTCATGCAGAGGTTTATGGCAACTAATGTCAACTGAACTAGGATCCATCTGCTAGCGTGTGTGACTCTTGGTGGCAATTCAAAATAACCAGGGTTTATGGCATTACAATTTTGGCAATGTTAATTAAGCTTTAGGTTGCCCTTCTCCTGACATGGGTTTTTTTCTTGGGTCACTTCTCTTCTCTTTCCTATCTTCATTCAATGAGCTTAGGAATTACTCCTATTTTTTAAGCCCACAAGATCGAAAAACCCTAAAGGTGGATGGATCTCTTTACTGAAAAATATAGGATGTGCTCTCAGATTAAGCTAAATCGAGATCCCTCTAGATTTAGCTTCAGTTAGGAAATTGAAAAAGTAGGGTTTATTGTTCGCAAAGTAGGGCTTATGGTATTAGAGTACCATGTTGTTAGCAATGTGTTAAGGTTAGGTTGTCTTTCTCAAGTGTTTTTTTAGTTAAATGCACCAGAGATCCATTAACTTGTGAGGAAGTTTCAGTTAGGTCCATCAACTTTCAAAGTGGTTTTTTGGGTCCATAAACTTAGTATGTTGTATCACCTAGGTCTATATCCCTCCACATGGGCTTCTCATGCTGACGTGACCTGCTGATTTGTCCTTTTAAAGCAACTATTGACGCTTCGTTTCGTCGAACATGTTGCGGACGCCGCTGCCGCTGCGGGCGCGCAAACAAACCCGTCGCGGCCACCTCGTCCTCGTCGTGTTCACCGTGGCTGCCGTGGCAACACGAGGCGCTAGCACTAGCGCTAGCACGCACACAACAGCGGCATCATCCGCACCGAGCGCAGCGATCGAGAGTCCATCGCCGGCGGCGGCGTCCTTCCTCCGCGCACGCTGCGCCACCACGCTGTACCCGGCGCTCAGCTACGACTCCCTCCTCCCATACGCATCCGAGGTCCACGAAAGCCCCGCCCATCTCGCGCGCGCGCCGCCGCCACGACGTCGCGGCGCGC